ACATCTAGACGGAAATCTTCAAATCTGCGATTGTAGCGGCATACATTACCTATGACCGTGTCCAAACAATGTCATTTGATATTAGTAAGTCTCGTATATTGTTGAAATTCCATATTAACATTAATGTGCACAATTTCTTCCACAACACCCGCCATCCTTTGATGATGGTGAATTTGTGTACGGCCCCGAAACCCGTACCAGGAAACTTAATACTTATTATTAATGAAGAAGAAAATATAGATAGAAATCTTATTATTGTTTCGTTATCGTAATTGGCAAACGGTGCTCTAAAAATCAGATTATGTAAATAAGTTTGACAAAACAAATTCGTGCACTATCGAAGTGAGGTGCAAATTGGTTCTACGATGTCGGAGCACGTTGATTTACGGATGTTTAATAAGTTGGGTTTTTTTTTGTTTTTTTTTTCGTAATGTTGGAACTGTCGTATTGTTTTTAAAGTCCATAGTAGTTAACTGGAACCAGAGCTTAGAGCTGTGAAGAATAGGGTCACTCTCTGGCGTAGAATTTTCTTAATTGCTGGATTGATTTATTATAAACTTTTATTTCTCACTCTCTTTACATAGCATCAGTAGTAACAACAAACACGTAATTGAAAATGGATATGAAAACAAGTTTTACAACTTATATAAATCCATCTTTTGTAGATTGATTTCACAATGTCGCGTGCAGTAAACATTCTGTTTTACATGCTCGGTCTATAAGTTCTCTCTACGCCGACTTACTCTCTACCTAAAAGTCATTGAAAATCCAATATTTCATGCATTTAAGCATGCATTGAAAACCTGATGCAAAAACTGAAATTAGGGCAATGTCGTAGGGGTTAGGCAGGCATCATTAAAATATTTGCCCTCCTTTATCCTATCTAGAAATATGACATTTACAGTACACTGGTTTTACATATTATATAGTCCGCTCCTCACTGTCATTTGTCTGATGAAGGTTTCTTTTGTTCGGGACTGTATATCTACTCTTTTACGAATAATTACTGCCGGTATCAACCGATCATATGTAACTATATTACAGGTATATGAAATTACAGGCCCATATCATTCCCGTGTTCTCTTTACAAACTCGTTGAAAATGTGTTAAACACGAAACTGCAGGCCCGCATACACTCCTAAGTGAAAGTTTTTCCTTACCAACAACGCAACGGTTTCCGTAAAGACTTAGGGTGCTCAAGATCCCCTCTCTGTGTTATCAGATATCACTGAAAACCAAATATATCCACGTATTTCTGAAATCGTTATTTTTGCATATTAATTAGCGGTACATCACCAAACGTCATATTACTATGCCTGAACTGATGACGTAAACAAAATACGTTTGCCCAGAAGATCATTAATTTTCGTAATAGCATTTTTATTTTTGTAGAAACGGGTCACGTGGTTCTGAAATATGGTACTTTCACTTTTCCTAGTGATTTGTCAAAAGTTGAAAAAAAACCACTTGACATTTCTTGAAACTTTTGACAAATCTCTAACTCTAGTGAATATGTATTTTGACCTTAATCCGAAATTATTATACAGCATTTTTGAGTGAAATGAATGGTATTTCAAACGTTGTAAGATTGTCGGAACTGGCTAAATTGCTAATGTTCCTTCCTGTTCATGCTAGAGGGTCATCAGTGTCCAGGATACTGGACAAAGCAATGCTTACTGCTAATTACAAACTATTGATATCTTCAGATATGTCTACTAGGTAGTAAGTTAGCCTATATCTATGAATCAATATCATTTCCAATGAGATGTGTCGACCATACCTTAGACGGATTTTGGCACCAGAGCTGAACCGTGCCCCTCTGTTGACTGACATGTTTCTGTATTTCATTGGAAAATAAATTTATCGAAATGTTTCTCAAAGCAGGTCACACACACTAAAATACAGGTCACAAGCACTACAATATTACACCCTCCAGATAGATTGTTCTGTCATGTTAAACGCCATCCATCATTGTCCAGGGACTCTGGTCTAACTGAATTTCGAAGATGCGAGGTTAATTTTTGTATTTTTAAATAACAATTTATTCGGCTCGAATGTCAATCCTTTGACAGCGGTCAATCTGCTTTTTATTGTAACTCCCAAGAAGTATGTTTGGTTGTGAGCTGTGGTATTCGCTTTCCACTTTTGACTGCCGTCGCTTGGAAACGGTGAACCTTCCTTCTGTGGGCCAAATTTGACATGGCATTTACAACAATGTAAACAGCTTACATTGACAGGCATAATGCATAGCGCATAAACATTAAAGAAAATATTAATGTGTTAACATAATAATTATTCAAAACCAATTAACAATGTTATGAAGTTAAAGGAAACTTTGAACAAAAGTAAAAAAAAGACACCTGAGAAATGAAAGAATAATATAATCAGGTGTTCCGGAAAGATAAACGTCTTTTGCTTTATCGGAAACACCCACCATGTAAATCTTAGTCAATCAAAATAAATATCGACACGTTCCCAAATGAAAGTTATTATGCGTTCACCGCAAGTGTACTTACTTTCTGATTAACCATCTTTACCGATTTTGTAAGCTACCATTCTGTAAATGTTTAAATGTTGTTCGACTTGACTGTTTGGTGTTCCCGTTGATGCAGCCTTTCGTGATAGTTTGCGCTCACTAAAACATGTAATTTTCCTCTGTAAAAGCGTATGATGTAACACTTATGTCAATGTTCAGTTATGTTCTTCACTGACGATTATTTTTGGTTTTAAGTTGTCTAGAATTGTTAATTCTGAGACTGCCCATCAGGAATGAAATTATAATTACCGTTTGATATTTGAGGATATATGTAAACTGGCGACTGATGGTTTAAATTTCACCTGCACTTAATCAACAATGTACTCTTCAATATCTAACAGGAAAAAATTGTGGTGATTGAACCGGTAAATCCCCTGAATACCGCACTTTTTCACGCTTCATACATTTGTGCACTTGTTTAAAATCATCACACGTACCGGTCATAAGTTCTGTTAAGCCCAGTGGAAAGAAATGTATACCAACATCGTCCTTTGCCACTTGATACTATGTTTGCTCAGTATACTAATTCTGATAAACGTTTGTGTGGAGCTCTTATAAAAGTCAGTTTAACATACAGACTGGTGGACATTGAAATATATAAGGGCGCGTCACCACTGTTGAATCATGATTCTGGACTTCATTAGTGATAAAATAAAAACAAAAATAGTCGAAATGTAATTTTATGTGTCGTCCCAATATCCTGAAAAAAAATTAATAAGAAATATAGGTATTTTTCCCCCGTATGCGTTCAGTTTGGCAGATTGCTAATTACGGATTAGTTATCATACCAGTGATAATTGTAATTCTTTCTCGTGTTACACACCGAGGAAGTCCTTCAGGTCCGGATTGATTCCGGTGCTCAAGTAAAATGAAAACTGGATGGTTGATTTCATTTAAAAAACAAATATTCAGACAGTTTTTTTTATCTTTAGAAAGGTTTGAAAAACAGGCAACCCAGAAAATATTTTCTGAAACATTTAATAACATGGTATGATAATAAAACACGTGAAATATATCGTTTAAACAAGTGATAAAATGTACAAAACACAAAGTCAATAGCTCATTTAAATACGATTTTAGGGTTTAATACAGTAGAGTCAAACAACCGTACATTTCGTCCTTCTAGGAATCGTCAGCGATGTTAAGGGCCTAAATTGTGAAGCCTAGAAGGCAACTGAGGAAAACCCAAAATGGTATTTTAGAACTACGTCCAGTACATGTGTATATTCTGATCCGAGCTATCATAAGAATGAATTAAAACATCGCATGCACTGTTTAATACTAAATAGTATGGTAACAATGGATTGAAAAAAATGTACATAATACAATAACCAGTAGGAAAAAGCTGTGTAAACAACTACCAAATACTAAAATCTAAAACCATTATTAGAATTACTTTTGAAATTCTTTAAGCTGTTATTTTGTAAATAATGTGGGATTTCTTAAAATAGATGAAAATCTATACCATGGTGTAAATAAGAATCCATTTATCTAAACGTTTCGATTATAATGTAATTATACATTAGGTCACATAGTACAAACCGTACACCATAAAATGATAGTAGAGAAGCGAGACGAGGGGGTCAATAATCATCCATTCTATATATAATCGCACAAATGAAAATTATATTTATAATCTGTCTTACGCCGGGGTAATATTTACACGATATTCAATAGGAAACTATTTAATTTTCTTTTTATAAGTTTTAAAAAAATCACAAAACAGCCGATCCAAACGCGAAAACATTTTGAAATGACAGCCTTACGTGGTATTCTAGCATTTCCCACTATTATCCTGAAATGCACACGGAGAAGTTCCTATTAAGCGACTTATAAAACCTCTGCTTGGTTTGTGTTTAACATGAAAATCGGCGAATTTTAATGAATAAACTAGAAAGCACTGCACTAATTGGTCAAAACTACAAAAGTTGCATATCAGCTAGTGATGATGCAAGGTCTTATATATCTTACTCGCTATGCCTCTTATCAAATTGATCAACTTCCGTATTTCAATGGCAAAATTCTAATAAACATGGTCACTTTCTCATCGATGGATCTCGTGATTCACGCCAGTTATCATTTATATACATTGGATCCTGTCTTGCTCTGCTTATTAATTTAAAACATCAATAAAATAAATAAATTCAATCCCGTCAAGGGACTGTCTTAATGATCCCATTAGTAAGCTAATAAGCATTCTGGTCTCCCAGAGTTACTGCCCTTTGATTTCACTCTGTCGACAGCCGATAGGGGCCGATAATGCTAATATATAAATGCATTGGGGAGGTCACGTTCTTTAGGTGATTTTTCGCTGAGTTTTTCTTTAGGGGGTATTCTTTCCTCAAGTTCGTCCGAAACTTGGTTGTTGAGTTGTAGCTTCACAGTCGTACAACATCCAAAGAGAATCAGCAAAACCTTAAACAGAGTTTAAACCCACGTTTATCACCGTTTCGTACATTAAACAATGCACTTCTCACATGATGTATGTACTTTGAATAGAGGACAGTTTAAGAATTTCAAGTCGAGTTTGCACAAAATATCTCTCGTATCCGACAACCCACAAAGTACCTTCCGTATCCGACAACCCACAAAGTACCTCCTGTATCCGACAACCCACAAAGTACCTCCTGTATCCGACAACCCACAAAGTACCTTCCGTATCCGACAACCCACAAAGTACCTCCTGTATCCGACAACCCGCAAAGTACCTCCCGTATCCGACAACCCGCAAAGTACCTCCCGTATCCGACAACCCACAAAGTACGTTCCGTATCCGACAACCCACAAAGTACCTCCTGTATCCGACAACCCACAAAGTACCTTCCGTATCCGACAACCCGCAAAGTACCTCCCGTATCCGACAACCCACAAAGTACCTCCTGTATCCGACGACCCACAAAGTACCTTCCGTATCCGACAACGCACAAAGTACCTCCCGTATCCGACAACCCGCAAAGTACCTCCCGTATCCGACAACCCACAAAGTACCTCCTGTATCCGACAACCCGCAAAGTACCTCCCGTATCCGACAACCCACAAAGTACCTCCTGTATCCGACAACCCGCAAAGTACCTCCCGTATCCGACAACCCATAAAGTAAGTGCCGTATCCGACAATCCGCAAAGTACCTCCTGTATCCGACAACCCGCTAAGTACCTCCTGTATCCGACAACCCACAAACTACCTCCTGTATCCGACAACCCACAAAGTACCTTCCTGTATCCGACAACCCACAAAGTACCTCCTGTATCCGACAGCCCACAAAGTACCTCCTGTATCCGACAACCCGCAAAGTATCTCCTGTATCCGACAACCCACAAAGTACCTCCTGTATCCGACAACCCGCAAAGTATCTCCTGTATCCGACAACCCGCAAAGTACCTCCCGTATCCGACAACCCACAAAGTACCTTCCGTATCCGACAACCCACAAAGTACCTCCTGTATCCGACAACCCGCAAAGTACCTCCTGTATCCGACAACCCGCAAAGTATCTCCCGTATCCGACAATCCACAAAGTACCTCCTGTATCTAACAACACGCAAAGTACCTTCTGTATCCGACAACCCACAAAGTACCTCCTGTATCCGACAACCCGCAAAGTACCTCCTGTATCCGACAACCGACAAAGTACCTCCCGTATCCGACAACCCACAAAGTACCTCCTGTATCCGACAACCCACAAAGTACCTCCTGTATCCGGCAAGCCACAAAGTACCTCCTGTATGCAACAACCCACAAAGTACCTCCCGTATCCGACAACCCACAAAGTACCTTCCGTATCCGACAACCCACAAAGTACCTCCTGTATCCGACAACCCGCAAAGTACCTCCCGTATCCGACAACCCACAAAGTACCTCCTGTATCCGACAACCCGCAAAGTACCTCCCGTATCCGACAACCTATAAAGTAAGTGCCGTATCCGACAATCCGCAAAGTACCTCCTGTATCCGACAACCCACAAAGTACCTCCCGTATCCGACAACCCGCAAAGTACGTCCTGTATCTGACAACCCACAAAGTACCTCCCGTATCCGACAATCCGCAAAGTACCTCCTGTATCTAACAACACGCGAAGTACCTCCTGTATCCGACAACCCACAAAGTACCTCCCGTATCCGACAACCCACAAAGTACCTCCTGTATCTGATAACCCACAAAGTACCTCCTGTATCCGACAACCCGCAAAGTACCTCCTGTATCCGACAACCGACAAAGTACCTCCCGTATCCGACAACCCACGAAGTACCTCCTGTATCCGGCAACCCACAAAGTACCTCCTGTATCCGACAACCCACAAAGTACCTCCTGTATCTGACAACCCACAAAGTACCTCCCGTATCCGACAATCCGCAAAGTACCTCCTGTATCTAACAACACGCAAAGTACCTCCTGTATCCGACAACCCACAAAGTACCTCCTGTATCCGACAACCCGCAAAGTACCTCCTGTATCCGACAATCCGCAAACTACCTCCTGTATCCGACAACCCACAAAGTACCTCCTGTATCCGACAACCGACAAAGTACCTCCCGTATCCGACAACCGACAAAGTAACTGCCGTATCCGACAACCCGCAAAGTACCTCCCGTTGTCGACAACCCACAACGTACCTCCCGTAGTCGACAACCCGCAAAGTACCTCACGTAGTCGACAACACACAAAGTTCCTCCTGTAACCAACAACCCACAAAGTACCTCCCGTATCCGACAACCCACAAAGTACCTCCTGTATCTGACAACCCACAAAGTACCTCCTGTATCCGACAACCCGCAATGTACCTCCCGTATCTGATAACCCGCAAAGTACCTCCTGTATCTGACAACCCACAAAGTACCTCCCGTAGTCGACAACCCACAAAGTACCTCCCGTAGTCGACAACCCACAAAGTACCTCACGTAGTCGACAACTCACAAAGTACCTCCCGTATCCGACAACCCACAAAGTACCTTCTGTATCCGACAACCCACAAAGTACCTCCCGTATCCGACAACCCGCAAAGTACCTTCTGTATCCAACAACCCACAAAGTACCTCCCGTATCCGACAACCAACAAAGTACCTTCTGTATCCGACAACCCGCAAAGTACCTCCCGTATCCGACAACCCGCAAAGTAGCTTCTGTATCCGACAACCGACAAAGTACCTTCCGTATCCGACAACCAGCAATGTACCTCCCGTATCTGATAACCCGCAAAGTACCTCCCGTATCCGACAACCTGCAAAGTAGCTTCCCTATCTGATAACCCACAAAGTACCTCCCGTAGTCGACAACCCACAAAGTACCTCCCGTAGTCGACAACCCACAAAGTACCTCCCGTAGTCGACAACCCACAAAGTACCTCCCGTAGTCGAAACACACAAAGTTCCTCCTGTAACCAACAATCCACAAAGTACCTCCTGTATCCGACAACCTGCAAAGTAGCTTCCCTATCTGATAACCCACAAAGTACCTCCCGTAGTCGACAACCCACAAAGTACCTCCCGTAGTCGACAACCCACAAAGAACCTCCCGTAGTCGACAACCCACAAAGTACCTCCCGTAGTCGAAACACACAAAGTTCCTCCTGTAACCAACAATCCACAAAGTACCTCCCGTATCCGACAACCCGCAAACTACCTCTCGTATCTAACAACACCCAAAGTACCTCCTGTATCCGACAACCCACAAAGTACCTCCTGTATCCGACAACCCACAAAGTACCTCCTGTATCCGACAACCCGCAAAGTACCTCCTGTATCCGACAACCCACAAAGTACCTCCCGTATCCGACAACCCACAAAGTACCTCCTGTATCCGACAACCCACAAAGTACCTCCCGTATCCGACAACCCGCAAAGTACCTCCTGTATCCGACAACCCACAAAGTATCTCCTGTATCCGACAACCCACAAAGTACCTCCTGTATCCGACAACCGACAAAGTACCTCCCGTATCCGACAACCGACAAAGTAACTGCCGTATCCGACAACCCGCAAAGTACCTCCCGTTGTCGACAACCCACAAAGTACCTCCCGTAGTCGACAACCCGCAAAGTACCTCACGTAGTCGACAACACACAAAGTTCCTCCTGTAACCAACAACCCACAAAGTACCTCCCGTATCCGACAACCCACAAAGTACCTCCTGTATCTGACAACCCACAAAGTACCTCCTGTATCCGACAACCCGCAATGTACCTCCCGTATCTGATAACCCGCAAAGTACCTCCTGTATCTGACAACCCACAAAGTACCTCCCGTAGTCGACAACCCACAAAGTACCTCCCGTAGTCGACAACCCACAAAGTACCTCACGTAGTCGACAACTCACAAAGTACCTCCCGTATCCGACAACCCACAAAGTACCTTCTGTATCCGACAACCCACAAAGTACCTCCCGTATCCGACAACCCGCAAAGTACCTTCTGTATCCAACAACCCACAAAGTACCTCCCGTATCCGACAACCAACAAAGTACCTTCTGTATCCGACAACCCGCAAAGTACCTCCCGTATCCGACAACCCGCAAAGTAGCTTCTGTATCCGACAACCGACAAAGTACCTTCCGTATCCGACAACCAGCAATGTACCTCCCGTATCTGATAACCCGCAAAGTACCTCCCGTATCCGACAACCTGCAAAGTAGCTTCCCTATCTGATAACCCACAAAGTACCTCCCGTAGTCGACAACCCACAAAGTACCTCCCGTAGTCGAAACACACAAAGTTCCTCCTGTAACCAACAATCCACAAAGTACCTCCTGTATCCGACAACCTGCAAAGTAGCTTCCCTATCTGATAACCCACAAAGTACCTCCCGTAGTCGACAAACCACAAAGTACCTCCCGTAGTCGACAACCCACAAAGAACCTCCCGTAGTCGACAACCCACAAAGTACCTCCCGTAGTCGAAACACACAAAGTTCCTCCTGTAACCAACAATCCACAAAGTACCTCCCGTATCCGACAACCCGCAAACTACCTCTCGTATCTTACAACACGCAAAGTACCTCCTGTATCCGACAACCCACAAAGTACCTCCTGTATCCGACAACCCACAAAGTACCTCCTGTATCCGACAACCCGCAAAGTACCTCCTGTATCCGACAACCCACAAAGTACCTCCCGTATCCGACAACCCACAAAGTACCTCCTGTATCCGACAACCCACAAAGTACCTCCCGTATCCGACAACCCGCAAAGTACCTCCTGTATCCGGCAACCCACAAAGTATCTCCTGTATCCGACAACCCACAAAGTACCTCCTGTATCTGACAACTCACAAAGTACCTCCCGTATCCGACAATCCGCAAAGTACCTCCTGTATCCGGCAACCCACAAAGTACCTCCTGTATCCGACAACCCACAAAGTACCTCCTGTATCTGACAACCGATAAAGTACCTCCCGTATCCGACAACCCGGAAAGTACCTCCCGTATCCGATAACCGACAAAGTACCTCCCGTATCCGATAACCCACAAAGTACCTTCTGTATCCGACAACCCGCAAAGTACCTCCCGTTGTCGACAACCCACAAAGTACCTCCCGTAGTCGACCACCCACAAAGTACCTCCCGTATCCGACAACCCACAAAGTACCTTCCATATAAGTCAATCTGCAAAGTAACTTCTGTATCCGACAACCCACAAAGTACCTCCCGTATCCGACAACCCGCAAATTACCTTCTGTATCCGACAACCCACAAAGTACCTCCCGTATCCGACAACCCGCAAAGTACCTTCTGTATCCGACAACCCACAAACTACCTTCTGTATCCGACAATCAACACTATTAAAGATATCATATAAGGAGGCTGTCCTGTAATATAGGTAGACCTCTGTTTATCATTTGAAAAAGAATAATTAATAAGCAATAAATACCTGGATAATGATAATGTAAGGACAATAAAGGACGTATCCATTCTCGCCTGCTGTAAGATCATATAATGTTGTCGCACATCCCTGCATTAAGAACATAGATATATTTAACACAAACTGAATCATAAAATTGATCAAATGGAAAAGGTGAAATTATATACGTTGCCTACAGATGTTATGTACGGATTGTGATCGGGGTGTTATGTTACAAATCGCTTTTATTTCATCACTGCTTCTCTGAAATCGGACAAAGTGCTTGTTCAGATAATATTTGTGAAAATCACTAGAGTGGACTCATCCATAGAAATCACAGAATCCATTACTTATCGTGTCCATCTAGAGGTCTTCTTGAATCACAAATCTATACCTAACCGCTATATCTTAATCAACTATAGTTGAAACTGGGCTAAAATAGGATAGTAATGTAAGGCATGATGATATAGTATTATCTGCTGATACGAATATCACGAGCTTATATAGACACCACAAAAATATGGAAAAAGTAGAAAAAAAATCTAATAATTTGTACAACTGTATCAGTATGTTGTGAAAATTCAAGTTTGTCGCACGATATACATACGTATGATAATCAAAAGACAGGATGGGGTGGGGGGGTCACAAAAACACACAAGTACAACAGTACAAATATAGAATTAGATAATTAGTGTCGAACAATAATTGTATTAGCATTATGCAACTGTTCTGTCATTCTTGGACTAATAAGTGACGATAAGGCCCTAAAACCTAAAAGGCGACCGGGGAAATATAAAGTGGTCAAACGAAAAGTCAAAAGCTAGATGGGGAGGTGAACTAGCCCTATAATTCAATTAATTTCGTTAATTTCATGTACTATTTTTTACATGTACGTGTATCTGATTATTAGAAGAACGTGTGCATATTCTAAACAGTGACACTATTCGAATGAATTAAAACATGCAGGGATATTTTTGACTCTCAAAAATGAGTTTTGATTCTTGGGTTTCACAGGGCAGGACTGTTTCACATATGTTTTGAAGACTTTCATTTTTGTTATTTGATTTCTGAAAATTACA